AGGCTGCTGGAGAGGATGTGTTCTGGTCTTTTTGTTTCCTTCTTAGCTTTTTTATTGTCTCTTTTGAATGGTGTGTAAATTTTAGTAAACAAGGCAGAAATTCCTACAGGTACTTTGCCCCATCTCTGGCAGGTAAATATGCATTGACAACAAAAACAACTACTGCAGGTACTTGCTATTTTTTCATGACACTCAAAACCTATTGTTTGAAACCAGGGAGGTTCACAGGGGGATCAATGACCTCAAAATGGCAGTGACTGGGCCATCAAAGCCCTCCCTTTTCATACAAGTTAAAAGAGGCTTTGATCACTGGTCACACTAGTCATTTTGGCATTGCTGACCCTCACCAACAGTGGCCCTTCTTGAAACACTTATCTTGGTCCTCCTATCAGCAGGGGCAGCCCTGCTTTCTAACACTCCCTTTACTCCCTTTCACTCTTTTCCTTCTTCTGCTCCAAGTGAGTTGCTGAGAAGAGATCCTCTTGCTAGAGTTATGAACTGATCATTTTTACTAGGGCTGCCACATCTGGGCTGTCAAAAATGGATCAGAAAGCACTAATTCTTTGCTGCCCTCTAGTTTATTTATTTTTATTTCTTATATCTTGCCTTCATCCATGAGGTCAGTATTGCTTACACAGGAGTCTCTTCTCATCTTAACCCATGAGATAACTTGAGCTGAGTGACTGGCTCAGTAACTAACTCCCCCTTGTCCTACTGTAACACATTAACTTCCCCAGCATGCTGGCTCTAGTGGTCTTCTGGATTTTTGCAGCCCAGATAGGATAGCCCTATTTTTAAAAAACTTCTAAAAATGGGCCAAACGATATATGAAATTAAGCAAATGGCCATATTGCCTGTAGGTCTGGAGCATGACTTTACAGCTACTATTAATTGGTATATCTATGTATATCAATGAACTGTTCCTGGTTAATCCTAAATAACTGTAGATATTTTGTTTTTCAGCAAAGGTTTTCTGGAAAAGGATCTCAGAGAGAAATGAAAAAGACCATTAGTATCTACTTCTCTAGAGGAAGATTTCACATTAAAATGTGTTGGTTATGACTGTCCATTTTTATTCCAAAGGAAATAAAATTCCCAGTTTACTATTTGTTGGAGACTTGCTTGAATATTCCTATATTTCTGCAGAACAAGTTGCAATCCTGGTAGTTAATACTGGGGATACAATACAGTGACAGGACAGAACTAGAACAATAGCCATAGTAGGTATAATTACCCATGTCATCGACAGCAAAACAGTGTCCATTTGTGCAGAAAAGGCAAGAGTGTATTTTGGAACTTACAGTAAAATTAAGCCTTGAACTATGACTGAAGTCTACAAAAGATTTCTTCCAGACTGCATGCCTCCCCCCCCCCCCCCCCCACATTAGTCACACAGGACCTCACAATGTCTGGAGTGGAAGAAAAATATCAACTTCATTTAAAGGGATTATTTCCCCAGAAAACCAGTTCTTCTCAAGCCTGCCCTAAGGCTTGCATGCATTTACAAAATCGCCACCTAAGAAACTGAAGAAGTAGGGGCAGGGCCAAACGGTGCCTCCCTCTCAAGATTTCTACCCGTCATCCACTTTTACCAAAGCTCCAAGGCAGGTGAAAAGGAAACTTAAATATCTCTTTTTGCAGCATGGACAACACAAGAGGTTTTGGCAGAAGAGTCCTTTTAAAAAAAAACCACTTTATTATTTTTTTAATAAAACAATCAATCTTAAAGACAAAAAAATTAAAAGTACAAACTAAAAATACAAACAAAATCCATCACTATTTTGAAATTTCATAAGGCTTTCACTTTAGCCAGGCCGGATGCACTGCCCTCAGAAGTCCTTTTTGAACTTTTTAAGGGTGCTCCTATGTCCTTCCAGTTATGTCCATGTGGTGATGGTTCAATAGAAACTCTAAGCCACGTGCTACTATGCTGCTCCCTATGTAAGGACTCTAGGCAGACCTTCATTTATCCAATCTTGAAGAAATTTCGGGGCAAGGAGTGGGATTTCTACTTACTGTTACTTCTTTCCAAGAAGGACTCAAAACATCCTCCCAAGTTGCCCAGTTTTGTGCTCCCATCTGTATAATATGTCACACCATTAACTAAGTTTGGGTACTTATTTATTCTTTGCTTTTTTATAATACTAATTTTTTATTTTATTATACATGCTCTTATTTATTTTTAGATCTTATTATACTTACTGTTTTTCTGTTTTATATGTACAGATGTATGTAACAGTTCTACTATTGGATATTTACTGTATCTGGCTTTATACCTGCAATAAACTGATTTGATTTGATTTGAACTAATAAGAGGGAAAAAAGCGGGGGGGAATCTATCTTATATTTTATACTTATCAGTTATCACTGGTTTACCAATGAATTCACTATAATAAGAACAGTATAAAGTATTGTAAAATATCACAGGATCTCTGCCATAGTAAACAAATATTGCTGCATGGCTGAAGATTTCCTTGAGCACTTTGCTTATCCCCTGTCCTATACAAGCCAAAAACACAAGGAAGTGAAAGTGTGGAAATATACTTTCCATAAACAGTTACAGTATAAACACAAACGATTCACAGCTAGTTAGATAATGCTGCAAGGGGCCTTGCTGTTATTCACAAAAGACAGCGGGAAGGACAAATTAAATAGCCCTTTGCCTCCATTTTAGTTGAGTGGGAATTAATCAGAGACATCCTTCAGATTCTGCTCAGTTGAAAATGTGAGTCCCATGTTAGGAACTAATCGCCAAGCAACAGTCCACCCTATGTCTTTTCAGAATCTGCCCTTTTTACACCCCCAAAACTTACCCCCTGCAGCTGGGGTAGTCTCTGTGGCAGGGATACGAGTTTCACAAGTCACCTGGGGACTCTGCCGGGTGCTGCAGCTTTGGGAAAAGGACAATAAGAAGGCATGAGTATTCTGTGGGAAAAAGAGCTTCTCTTCCATCTCCCCTCTCATTCAAAATCCTGCGCTTGTTCATCAACCCCTTGGGTCTGAAGAACAGGGGGCTGGACTCACCTGATGCCGCAGGGTTCAATCCGTTCTGATCTCCAGTCGTGGGCATGGGGGCCAGCACCCCCCATGACTGCTCCACAGTCAGCACAGCCAGGGATCTCACTTCGGGGACCCAGGTTGAGGCCCCCACATCCAGCTGGGGGGCTTCGCAGGGCCCCCAGAGGTTGCTTTACTTTGTCCTGTGCAGAGACACCAACACTGATATGATTCAAAAGGTATTTAATATGAATGCTATCTTCAGATACATTAACAGAGGCACAGAGTCCAGATGATGGGGAGTAATTGTTTCACTCAGTTCTGCTCTGGTCAGATGCCATTTGGAGCACTGATTCCAGCTCTGGGCACCACAGTTCAAAAAAAAACAATGACCAGTTGGAGCAAGTTCAGAAGATAGTGAAGAATCTGGAAACCAAGCCTTATGAGGAACGGATAAAGGATCAGGGTATGTTTGACTGATGTCTGAGATACAGGTTAAGAATGCCCAGTTTACAGACGACCCATAGTTAAGAACAGAACCAACTGTAGCAAAATTCGAGCTAAATACACAATGGTTTGAGTTAATTACACAATACTACTTACACAGTATTATACGATAATACTGTTCCAGCTTACATACAAATTCAGCTTAATGACAAACCTTGGGAAGGGAACTCGTTCTTAAACTGGGGACTATCTGTACATGCTTGTAGTCTTCAGATCTATTTAGAGTTTACATACAGAAGAGTGGACTTATTCTCCATTGCTGCAGAGGGCAGGATTAGAACCAATGGGTTAACATTTTGAGAAAGCAGGTTCAGCCTAGACATCAGGAGGAACTTCCTGACTGAATGACCTGTCCACCAGTGGAAATGACTGCCACATGTGGTGAGTTTTCATTTGCCAAAAGTCTCCAAACAGAGGGAAAACAGTCATCTGCACTGAGCAGGGGTTGGATGATGACCTTGAGGCCCCTTCCAACTCTATGAATGGAGACAGTGGCAGCCAAGAATGGCTCATAGGGCCTGATTGAAAGACGCATACCTGTTAAGCCTGTGCAACAGGACCCAGCAACTGTATTTGTGGCCTGCCATTTGCTTGACTACCTCCTTACCACCATCAAGCCAATGAAAACCACAAGTCAAAAAAAAAAAAAAGTGTGCTGGAGGTGCAGGCTCCATAAATTAGTCCTGTCCCTCACTATAAACCTGCCCAACAACCATATTCCCAATTGTCAACATTATGCTTTGCATTTCCATCCAGTTAGAATACACCAGGAAGTGCCATACACGTGTATCAGTGGACATGTATAGAGGCCCTCCACTGTTCATTGGTACACACGTAAAACCCCTGGCAAATAAAAAACAAAACACGGAGGGTAAGGGATATGCATCACTAGCCTGTGCAAGCAACAAAAACACCATGAGATTCAGCCGGCTCTTGCTACGGAACTGTATATAGTTAGTGAGCTGCACTGGATTATAACCACATCCTGGGATAATGCACAACCAGAATTTTACTCATAATTTGAAGCCAGAAGTCAACAACATTGTGGGTGGCTGGAGGCCACACTAACATTTGGGGGCAGGGGCTGGACCATAGTGGGTGATGCAAATTGGGTAGAGATGGTTTCTTCCTTTTTTGGGGGAAGAGGTTTGGCATAGGGTGGCACATTTGCGTTTTAAGCTATGTTAATCCCATTGTAGGATTTATGCAACAGCTTTTTCGTGATATCTGCCTCAAAATGGGGAGAAATTGGGCCACTAGCTTTTAACAGCAGTGGTCTAATAAAGCTCCAAATATCACAAAGAAAGATCACCATAAATTGCCGATTTCTGCAGTGATCTATAACAAGTGGTTTCACACACTGAAGTAAGCCATAAACAAAGGGCATTGTAGTTCAGCATTATGCAGCCACTATGTAGGATGGTATCTTCTTGGTGTGCTTCAAATATTTAGTGAAGTCCTGCTCTAGCTGTCCCCAGAGTTTACTTTTCAATATGCATAAGGCATAAGATACTAGAGGGAAGAGAAAGGCAGCCATTGTTGAACTCAGCACGTGTCTATTTGGGATAAGAGTGTTATGGCATCTGTGTGTGTGTCTGTGTGTTTGTGTAAGAGCTTTAATTTTCTTATTAAAAGTTATTTTTGTATGTTGCTATTGTGAGCCACCCAGAATTATATTCTGTAAGATGGGAGGCCATATAAATCGAATGAATGGATGAATGAATGAATAAATAAATAAATAAATAAATATCCTGAATTTGTAACTCCTCTCTCTCCTTGCAGTGGCTTGGTAGTACGAAAAGAGAACTGAGTAACTGCATACAAACTATGTTGTCACAAATCATTTACAATATAGTGTAACACAATCATTCCCCCCTCCTCATTCCCCCACCCCCATCCATTTTCCTAAGCATAACTGTGGTTCAAGATCACTGGTAGAGCATGAAATTTCAGGTACAAGGATCTAGGTTCCAACTCCAGTTCAAAGGGCTGGGAAAAACAACTCTCTGCCTAAAATAATGGGAACTTCTGTCAGTCATAATGGACAGAACCCAAGATAGATGTAATATGGTTTAGCATATCAACTTTTGATATTGCCAAGGATCTCTTTCTGACTAATAAAACGTAACTTTACACAAACTATTGCATTTTTTTTAGTAAAAACCCTCCAGATCATCCTAAATAATATTGATAATATCACCATTACACTAAAAAATGCTTTTCTCATATACAAGACACCCCTAACCTGCTTTCTACATATAAGCCTTGCCCACAGTCTGTAGTCTTCCTGTGGGATTATGATACAGCTTCCATGTCATGGCTATGCAGATAAGGGAAATTAGTTTTAAGAGTCATTATAGCACACTGGACAGAAATCTGGAACCAGGACAGGAAAGATCTGGGTTCAAATTCCCACTAGCTGTTAACCTCACTGGTTAGCCATAAGCCAGTGACCAACCAACTTTCAGTCAAAGGTATCTTAGTCAATTGTTATGAGGAAAAAAGAGAGCACGGAGAGAATCCTGTTTGTTTTAGAGCACGCAGATGGGACAAAGAGTCGCCCTACACCTGCCCGAGACAGAAAGCAAAGGCCACCCATATGGGCCATTGCCCTCAATACTCATCCCCTTGTGCATCTGCCTGTCACCAGTTATTCATACTCTCCCTAGTCACACCATAATCAGAGAACAATTGTGATAATTCTGTGACATTTTAAACATTGGAGATAATACTATTATGAAACACTTAGGAAAATGTTTGGAAATTCTCCTTATGCCAATCAGCTGTTAACACCATTAAATGAAAAAAAGATTTGCATGAAAGAAAATTACAACATGGAAAATTCAAAGGGTTTTGGGAAGGATAATTTATAGCAAAGGTGGGCCACCCAATTCTGTGAGGCTACATGTAGACCCTAATCTCATTTTTGCAGTTCCTAGAGAACCCCCCAAGTTCAGGTCACCAAAATGACAATAAATCACCAGGTTTGGGTGGTGTAATGTTGGGTCTTTTTAAGCCAAAGAACACTAAAAGTACATCTACTCTGAGTGAATCCCTGCCTTGAATAAAATAAAAAAAAAACAAGCCTGATATTTTTGCCCCGTCCCCTCAGGTGACATTCTTGTGTCATTGCCATGCCCTCTTGGAAGCTGAAAAAACTGTTTAAAAATGAAGCACACCCACGAAATGAAAATAAGTTCCATAACCCTTACTCACAGTAAGTGGGAAATTATTTCTGTGATCTCCCACAGAAATTTCCTGCAGTTAGGAATTTATTTGCAGACTTTTATCAGTCAAGAAAAACTATCTCATGTTCCTTTAAAAGATCATTTCTGATATTAAGTAGATACTAGTGGGCAGTAATATTGCATGTGCCTGACTTCCTGGCATTCATAATACATTCTTAAAAGAGTCCTTTTGCATAGTTATCAATGTACAGGCCTCTCTTCACGTATTCAGAAGCCTTAAAAATGGTAGGTACATAGGGTTTTGTTTTGTTTTGTTTAATTCTTCAGATCTTGCTCTGGATACACGGAGATCAGGAGGGTGTAATCCCACTCCTTCATCTCTGCATGTTCAAATAAATCTGAAAAGGATTATACAATGTGTAGAATGAAGTGGAAAAGCTTTTTCTGGACTGGACTGCTCCAGCCTGCAGATGAAGCAGCTACATCCAAATTCTATCACTAAAAACTTGAGCTTCTGCATATTGAAAGCTGGCATGTCAGGGAAAAACTTTTAGCTAGCCATCTTTCTGATTAATAGATTTTCTGTGTGATGGGAGCTGAAGTCTTCTGGAACGTAAAAAAAACCTACCTCAAGTAGGTGCTATTTTTATAGAACATGATGGTTATTATTTTATGTGTGGGTTACTATATTATCCTAAGACATACTCATTGATAACTTTAGTTAAGCCAACTTCTTTGAGAACTGGTACACAGCAGTGGCTGAAAAACAAAATAAATGTTCCAGATAAACTTTGGAATTCAGATCTTACCACTGCCATGAATTTTCTTCACTGAACAATTACTGAAGCAATATACAGGAAATGCTTTCAACACAACAAAAATAGTAAGTGAATGTTATGATCACTTTCATGTTCCAAATATTTCAGTTTTGACTGTATGCTGTTCCACAAGCTAAGCTTGGACCATTTATATGTTTTGTTCACCTGCAACACCCTAACTTAGGGGTGAGTTGAAAGAATTCTTGAGAAAGAATTGCGTGTAACTAAAAAAAAATGGTAAAAGACAGAATATGGGTAAATAAAACAAGCATAATTCAGCCACATAGTTCAGGCAGGCAGGCAAACTAAGAATAAGTAACAAGCCATTGCTTATCTATGTCTTATTCCCTGGAAACAAAGTGGTAATAAGTTTCTATGCCAATACCCAATTCCAAAAATCCTCTCAGAGTTTCTAATAATCAGTACTGCAGTGTCTTGGTTGTTATCAGTTCTACAGTGACTCCCATATCTCTTTCCTCATCAGCCATCAGATCACTGGATGCATACAAGAAGATGGTTTTATTTCAGCCTGCCTATTACTGTTATGTATGCTGTATTACTGTCTGGGTGGAGAACATCCCTGCAGTCCTTTGGACTATCTTGGATGTCATTGTCTTGAGTCATACACACATCACTATGTGACGAAGACCAGCATCCCATTTTCAGAAATAAGGCAACAAACCCAAGGCCCTGGGACCTCTGGAAAGGACATGGGCTTTATCTGGGACACTGAGGGGGGGCACTCTGGACAATAGGAGGCCAAGCAAAGAGACACTGTGAAGGTGGGGGAGATGAGGTGTCCTGACTCCATGTGCAGGCCTCCTTCCTGGCAATCATGACGGAGCTATAAAGCCATGTTCCCAAAGGACGGCCTGTCCCTGTTGATCCCTCCCTCTATCCACCCAGACGACAAGGTCCACGACGTTGCAGGTAAGTAGCCGGCCCATGTGTGCTTGTGTGTGATAACACCCCTGACAGAAAACACCACCATCTCATAGGTTTTGCAGCTCCTTGCCCTCCCACCGCCCTCCTCTCCCGCTTCGTCCCATCTTATCCATTGCTATTCTTCCCCTGACAAATCCTATCCCTTTTATGCCATAATCCATCCAGCTTTCTCTCTCCTTCCTTCCGCCACCCTCGGAAAGAGCCTGCAGCCAGCCACCGTCCTCCCCCCCACACACGCCCCACTTTGTCCCCTCCACCTGGGATCCTCGCCCTCCTCCAGGACAGACTGGGCAATCCAGCCAGGGCAGGGTACCCTCCAGCCATCGCCATGCCGGGAAAAGGGAGAGCTGGAGGAGGCTGACGTCCTTACTTACCTCTTTGACCGCCCCCGCCGCCCGCGCTGAACCCGGTCTCGGATCTCCTGTCTTCCAAGAAGCCCCTGCGACGGGGATGGCGGCGGCGGCGTCGGCGGAATCCAGGGCGGTTAGGAGCAACCTTGCCGCTGAAGCTGCCCTAAATAGCAGCAGTGAGCAGGGGAGGGACTATCGGCTGTAGTCATGACGACGGGAATTGCCATCCTCCTTCTCCTGCTCCCTGATGGAAAATGAGGCCCATGGGAGCGTGGACAGAAGAGAAGGACGGATGGGCTGGCCAATGGCACATCGCAGCAGCAGATAAACCGCAAGACCAGGGTCCCTCCCTCTTTTTCGTACGAGCCTTCCCCACCGCTGTCACGCGCTTTCTGGCCCCTAGGGGCCGCTGACGCGCGTCGGGGACTCCTGCCTCCCGTAGCAACCTCTATTTTTACAGTAGTTAATTATATTATTATAATTAACTAATTATATTATTAGCATGCATTACGTTTCTACGTTTAAAGACCTGCTGTATTTTAACTATTAACTAATTATATTATTAGCATGCATTACGTTTCTACGTTTAAAGAAGACCTGCTGTATTTTTTCTTCGCCTGTTTGACAGAACTGAAATATCTGTACAGTAAATTGCAACCGCAGTTATGAATTATCCCCATGGCGTCAAATCAGTCAGCCCTTCCTTTCATGTTATGCACATTGAACCTCATCTTAGTCATGTTTTAAAGGAAAAGTTAAGTGCTTGCATGTGGGCACACGCATATACAAGACTGCAGCATCAGAGACCTACATTTCCAACTTAGGTCTCTCCCACACCACAGTTTTCACTCTCCCAACCTCAGAACCACTTTCAACCATGATGGTCCTCACCATGACCCACCTCAGTTGAGCATCCAATCCTCAACCAAGTAGCAATTCCTCTCTGGTTATCAAAGGAAGAGCATAAAAAAATTACCCCCAACCCCTCTGTGCCCCCTTCAAAGCAGGCTGTGAGTGCATTTGCTGTTCTGGTGCAAATATCATCATAGTTCCTTCAAAAAGGTAGTGCCACAGCATCACCCTGCTATTTGCAAGTAAACAACCAACCTATGTCTGACTGAAACAGTAGTATGAAAGCCAGTGTGGTTTAGTGGTTAAGGTGTTGAACCATAGGAGTTTGTGCTGGACTGCAAATGACGAAATGTCCAAAGCACATGACTTATATACTTGCATCTGATGTTGGAATACAAAATACAAAAGGTTTGCATTGTGATGTTACAACACACATGGTGTTCCTTTTTCATTATCATGGTTTGTATTGGATGCCTATACATTGGACTAGGATCAGCGAGACTCAGGTTAAAGTCCATGCTCAGCTATGGAAAATCTTTGGGTGACTCATTCTTCCTCAACCAAACATCTCACAAGTTTGCTTTTGTGGGGGAATGGAAATCTCCATATAAGCCCCTTTAAGCTCTTTGAGAAATGTCAGGAAATCAATCAATCGATCAAATGAATACAGCATCTTAGCATGATGTTATCAGGGCTCACCCTTTGAGAAGCTCAGAAGCTGGGGTGTGGGTGTTCCCATTTATGAGAAAGTGGCCTGTGATGAAACTCTGTACAGCCCCAGCATTTCAGCTGGAAAAATAGACTTGCATTGATTCAGCAGCAGAATAGGAACAAAATCACGGGATCACAGAGTAAATTGCTGATAGTATAGCAATGCAAAAGCTGCAGGTGGTGGAGGTGCCCTTCTTTTGTGTAAGAGATTTGTTGGAGGTAATAAATCCCAAGTAAAGAAAAAACACTTTTAAAGGAAAAACATAGGAGGAGCAGAGAGAAGGAAAGGAGGGCCAAAGAGTTGACAGAGTGATTATTTCTCATTTTAATTGAGACTTGTGCTAGCTTGTATTCATGCTGCCCTGAATCCATAAAGCTTGAATGAAACTAGATCTTAGGTTTACCATATGTAGAAAATCACAAAGATGACCTTGGAGAAGGTATGTAGCAGCATACCTTATACCTTAAATCATATAAAATATGATTGAAGCCCGGGACAAGAAAAGAACATTAGAAAGCAACTTAAACTGGCTTTGCCGTAACTCTCTTTTTATTATAAGAAGGAGGGAGAGAAAATACTGTCAGGCTTTCAAGGTTATAGTACTATAGCCTATATTAATCAAGTAGAGTTCCAGTAAATCTTGTGGAGTCTGCTTGTTGACCTAGCCTACCTTGAAGGGCTGACATGAACAGAATATCTGTAGCTCAGGGCTGAACTGTGGAGTCCTTGGTGCTCTCAGAGCTTGGTTGTTTGGCTGGTTGCACTGATGATGTTACCTAGTTGCCTAATGAAACGTTTGCAAGCAAACAACCAAGCTCAGAGAGCACCAAGAACTCCATCAATCTTGAAAGCCTGTCTCAGGCATAAATAATGTTTTGTGCACTGCCACTCCATAGCTCTCTGAGGCCATCTCTGTCATTCTCAACACCCTGGAACCAGTCAAAATGCACTGCGCAACTTATTTCATATGGAAAGATTTTCTGTGGAAGCAAAACAAAGCAACACAAAAAAATGTTAAGGGAACACAGGAGGATTCCAAGTGGAAGACAAAAACATCCGGAGCCCTATAAAACTTCACAAACGATAAAAGGTAAATGTGCAGAAAACAAACAAACAAGCCCTCATCTGAAAGCAGTCTAGCTGCCAATGTCAAAGTTCAGCCTTGGAATATTGTATATGAATTTAAAAATTGTAACCAGTCCTCGTGAAATATGGAGAGGGTTTTTCAGACCAGGATTAGATTATCTGATTCCATCTTCTCTCTTCAAGAAATTGAGTAGTGTAATTATTTCCACAATTTAATCTAGATCAGAATAGTCAATTAAGCATGTGCTGCAGTTGGCTAACTCGGTGCCATGTGCTAAACAGGGAAGGAAATGGGCTTGGCTTTGCATCGTCCAAATAGTAATAGTTGCACGATGCCTTTATTTGGGCCAACTGGAAGTCCCAAAATAACACATTAATGTACAAACAGAACAGTTCCTTGACCCGGGTCTTAAAAAACAGCATGAGAGAAGAAAAAAGACACTGTTGCTGTGTTAAAATTGGTTCATTTATATCCTACCTTTCATTCAGGAGCTCAAACTATACATAGCATTTCACCCTCTCATTTTTCCTCACAAGAGCAACTCTCGGAGGTAGGTGGTATTATATGAGTGACTGACTGAAAGTCACCCAGTGAGTTTCTGTGCTGGGGGTGAACTGGATCTTTGATCTCCTTACTCCTTTTTAAAAAATATATAGTTTATTAGGATTTTTCAGTACAGTAAAAGTATACAAAACAAACAAATAAAAACCATAGAAAGTAAGAGAAAGAAAAAAAGGAATGAAAATAACAACATGCAATTATGCCTTCTGCTCTTCTTTCTGTCGAGTAATTATCATCTTAATCTTTTCCCCATCCTCTTCATCCCCTTTTAATCCCTGAATCCCAAAATCATCAAGTCAATCTTTTCTCCTTTCAACAAAAAGCCCATATAAGGCTTCCAGTGTTTCAAAAAAATCTTTGTTGTTTTTCTCTGACCAAACTGGTCAGCTTCAACATTTCTGCAAGTTCAGTTAATTTTATAATCCAGTCTTCCATTGTAGACATTTCATTGCTTTTCCAATGTTTTGCATACAATAATCTTGCCAGAGTTACCATATACAATATTAATTTCCCATATTTCTTTTCTAATTCCTTGTCCATAAAACCAGTAGGAATAATTCTGGCTTCACATGATGTTAGTCTACAATATATGTTACATCATTGTATGGGTTCACACCCATTTTTTTTTTGCCTTACTCCTAACCTAGGTCTTTAACCACTATACCACACCAGTTGTCTTATATGCAAGTACCTATAAAGACTCTAGTTACTTAACTTTTTCTGGTGACTGCCTTAGTTACCATTTTAGAATCTATAGAAAGATTGTGATTTGGATAAAATTATGGGGACTCAGATTGTGAGTCAGATTTTGGATTTAATTATAGGCCACTTTATCTCTCCCTTCCTTCAACATTGCAGAAGGCATGATGGAGACTGGTTTGCAATTAGTTTGCATGATGGAGACTGGTTTGCAATTAGTTTGCAAAGCTCTTTGTAAACTAATTAAGTGTGTAGCCAGGGAATAGTCTTCAGATTGTATCAAAGCATGCTTGGATCAAACAATGATCATCACTCTGTATTTAAATTTTTTAAAAAAACTAATCAATTGATGTGATTTTATTACTAGCCAAACTGTTGTAACTTTACTTTTCTAAGTAGCTGGATTGACACCACACGTTTAACCCTAAACTTGAGTTGACAAAACACAATTGTTGTATTCACATACTGTAACGTGGCAATCCAATAAATTCCCATTGCCAGTCTGTATCCTTCTTCTCTTGCCTCTATGCCCAATTGCTGCGATCATCTGACATCCTGCCAAGATAATAGGTGAAAAAACCAAACAGATTTTGCACATGCTAAGGCTGCCCTGGGATAGGGTTAAAATAAGGGGGGAAACATGACTTTAACTTCAGTTCAGCTAAGAATGAATTAAGCCTGTCTGATTCATGGTCTGCAGATAAGATTAAGACAGTGCTGTGGGTATTTATTTATTTATTTTTATATATATCAAATTTGTCACTGCCCATCTTGTTAAAAAGCGACTCTGGGTGGTTTACAGAGGAGATAAAATCAACTAAAATACAATATAAAAGCAGTCTTAAAAATAATAAAGTCCAAGAATGATGGGAGTGGTAAATAACTCAGGGAGTAACATCAGGGCGCCAGCCATCCCCAGGACTGATTAAAACTCTTATCACCCCACGCAAGCTGGCAGAGCTAGGCCTTAAGTCCTTTCTGGAAAACCAGGAGGGTAGGGGCCCACTGCACCTCTGAGGGGAGAATATTCCAAAGGGCAAGGGCACCAGCGGAGAAGGTTCTCCTCCTGGGCCCCACCAGCCAATATACTCTTGCTGATGGGATCCACAACATGTCCTCTCTGCCTGACCAGGTGGGATGGGTTGTGTGATGGGGGTGAGACAGTCCTTCAGGTAACCTGGGCCTATGCCATGTAGGGCTTTAAAGATGATAACCAACACCTTGAATTGGACCCAGAAGCAAACTGGCACCCAATCCAGCTCCCGCACCAAAGGTGTTTTATGTGCCATCCTAGGGGCACCCAAGATTGTCTGCATGGCCAAATAAGGGGAGAAATTGCAGTTGTCAATTAATTATTGTGCCATGGTTAAGTGCAAGTGGGGATATGGCCAAAGAAGTGCACTTGTCTGACTCCTCACTTTTTGCTTTTAGACAGGTAATAAATACAGTTTTATTAGAGTTTTCTGGACTTTTAGCCTTAATACAGTTTAGTGTTCTTGCTGCCGTGGGCAGAAACGTCCTATAATCACATTTTATTAGGACAGGAGATAGGCGGCTGCAGCTGGTATAACAGACAGCTTCCAGACCGCATTTAATGTGTGGCCAGGCCATTAGGGGAGGGGAAAACATGCTGCTAGTAAGTATTTGTGCCTTGGGAGGGAAGCATATATAATCATAATTTATGATGGCTTGGCTCAGGGTAATATTTCAGGCCAAGTCCTACTCAGACAAACATTTCATGGCAAGATTTTGTGATGTAAGAAATTCAGGGCTGGGACTGGGGAAATTAAAATCTCTCCTGAGTCACGAAACTGCTTGGAAAACCTGAAGCTAATTATTATTTCTCAGCCAAACCCACCTCACAAGGTTCTTGTGAGGATTCAAAGACAGTGGGAGGGGAGAACCATAAGTATCATTTTTGAAATAGTTGAAAGAAAAGTAAGTACAGTTCAAACTGTAAGAAAAGGGGAATACAATGGCTTGAAAATAGTTTCCCAGGGCAAATCAATAGCCAGAAATAGGAAATTTGGGAGATACAAATTTGGAATTGAAGGTATCAAAATGGTATATATGGTCCACCTTCCCTTAAGTTCTCAGAGCAGAGAGATACAGTACGGATATTAGGCTGAGCACCAGGACACACATTTGCCACACAGGGCTGTTTGGTTGTGGATTAAAAACCAGGTGATCAATTAGATAACCTCACAATCCTGTACGTATTTCCCCCACCTCCCATAAGCTGGCCTAGGCTCTGTGGGAATTATTCTCAGGCGAGCAGGTAAGATTGCTACCCAATAATTCCTTAATCCATATTTCCCCAAGCAGGTGCCCTTCCAATGGTGAGGACTACAAAACCCACAGTTCACAGCCAAACAGACCAGAGTCTGAAGATGGGTTGCTTGTCTTAACCCACCTAGAGAGGACAGTGTGGAGAAGAAACCCAAATCAGCTCATTGGCCATCATTAGATTCCTAGAGCAGGTCTACGTCTTAGGATCAAACAGGAGGGCCATCCGGAGTAACCATCTGTATTTTTGTCTGTTTGCTCTACTTGGTTATCGGTTTACTACAGTGCAGACCTGGAACAAGGTAGATTCATTTAGGCTTTTGAACCTTGTCAAACCAGAAGCACTTTTTCCACCACAGGATAGAGAGGGGTAGGGAAGCTTGGCCCCTAACCCAGATACGGTTAGTTCCCATTCCCATTACCCCAGACAACGGGCTGGGCAAGAATGAAGAGGGCTGGGATCACATACCAAGGACCAAAGATCCCCCACTCTGGACATTTCGGGCGTTCAGTGTGCTCCACGTCTCTTGTGATCTCACCAGGATGCCATACAGGCAGCCTGCAGCAGGAGGCAGCAGCACGCTGCGTCCCAGGCCTGAAGTTGACACCAAAGGTATTGCCAACCACCAACAGGAGAAAGATTTGACAGGAGACATAAATCAAGAAAACTCAAATTGGCCATGTCATCTTTAGTTAAAAGACTCATTTTCATAGCACAGGGCCTTCTCTTGAATTGTCTGTGCTGTCTGATCAGTAAATCTGTTTCAGACTTGTATGTGTAGCTAAGGCTGTTTCCACTATTAAAGGTCAATGGAATACCATGAGACATAATATAAATTACCCCTTGAAATGTGTAACTTTTCAAACATACAATTAAAGAACAAAAAGCATCCTTTACTAAGAATACAGGAAAGTGCCTCAGATCAAATCAAACCATCAACTGATTTAAGTGATCCTACAAATATCACAGTGTGTGTCTGTGTGTGTGTGTTGCAGGAGGGGAATTCATGGATGTGGCAAGAGGAAGAATGAAAGCAAGAAAATGGGAAAGGAGGTTTCTGCAGCTCTGTTGACATGATCCCACCCACTTGGTTCCACTCACCATCACCTACATGGAGAAAGCCAGACAGCCTCGGATGATTTGTATGCAAAGAATGTGCTCAGCCAGATCTGGTCCGATCATTTGGCAAAGTGAACAAATGCTGGCATGATTGAGGGAGAAGATGGGGAAGGGAGCAGTGGCAGTTACCCAGCCATGCCCCCAGCTGTTCTCCTCTGTTGGAAGTGCCCACTAAATTAGCCGGCCCTGCAAGCTTTTATATGTGGAATCAGAGGGCGCTGTTTTCTCTCACCATTCTCCCACAAAGTTGCATCCCTTCCTCCTATAGCTTTTCTACAAGCAAAGGAGGAAAAGCTATCAGTTATTGTGTTTCTGGATAGTATATAACATGGTTAGCTCAGTTATAAGCTGATTAAAAATCAGCCACACATTAAGGCTGTCTTCTGTTGGCTTAAGCACCACAAAGCCAAGAAACTAAGCTAAGGCTAATGTCTTAACACAACATTCCCCAGTCTGGTTCCCTAGTAATCAACTAGGGTACCAGACTGGGGAATGTTGTGTTAAGCCAGATTGTAGAAAATTAGGTATCCTAGCCTTTTATAATAAACACAATTTAAGTATTTCAATTCAGTCTTCCCCAACCAGTATGCCATGTTTGGCTGGGAATATTGAGACATATAGTTCATCTTGGCTTGTTTGTTATCTTCCTTTGTTTGCATTTCATGTGTTAATATTATGTAAACACAATCCTCAGAACTATTGTTAGTAGGAGATACCAAAGAACAATAAATACATAGCAAGAACCCATCTGTAATTTCTTGCATCTCTCTTAAATTCCACAATATTTACAATGGTATCACAATATGACAATATGGTCCTTCATTGGTGGGACAATCTGTGGGCTAGGCAAAGGATTTAGACAACTCAGGGACTGAAATGAAAAATGAATTTAAGGCATAAGGAAGAAATGGAATATTAAGTAGAATCAGAAAGCAAATAAAAAGCCAAGACTGATTTATATGGTATAAGCATCATATTCCCCAAAGCTCCTTAATCAGACTGTTATTACAGCTTGGTTTCAAAGAAAGAACTGGAAATTCATTCTTAAAAGCTTGATCTTGTCCAGCTCAAAATATTTTACTGCCTGCAGCAATTCAATAAATTTCAGTCACCCCTCACAACTTGCAGGATCTGATATTCAAAGCTAAGCGCCTGATTCAGAAAATCCCAGGGAAAAAAACACTCACAAAAAATAGAATAACTACTGGTTGTGTTCCATCCTTCTACAAATCAGTTGCCTAAGGGAGGCAGTTTCCACCCTGAACCTGCCTAATTATAAGATCAAACCGTTTGCATAAAGATGAGGAGTGTATATAAGGAATATCCATAGGTATGATGATAGCCGAGGAAGTTAAGAGCAAGCCACAGATATGCTGTAGAAGGTAAGAGAAAATGGAAACCCAAAATTTAAACAGTAAAAGCTGGATTCTCTATTTCATTCCTTTAATTTAATTTATTTTACAATCATTCTGATCAAAATAGTAATATATTCTCAGGCACATAGAAAAACACACAAGTGGAGCTATGGGAATAGCAATTGGAGTGTGTATAACTCAGCCTTCCCAAATGTCAGGCTCTCTAGTTGATCCTGGAAGTTGTAGTTCAACACATCTGGAGGCACTGAGTTGGAGAATATGTGCTTGAAATGAAGGCACACACCGTCCCGTCACATTAGAGGAATTTCCTTGGCTCTGAGACCTCTGCAGTAATAGCAGCAGAATCTTCCATCTTCAGTCCATCCAATGAAATCATTGCAAAACCAATGGAGCAGTTCTTTAATCACATTTTAAAAGAAGGAGGGGGAGAAGAGGAGGGAGAAATCCCATCTGTTGCTTCATCTTACGGGGACATCTCTCAAACCATCATGGAAAAGACAACACCAATAGCCCCCCCACACATAAAAAAAGAAAAAATAACACCTCAATTTGACAATATTTCAGGATTCAAGGAGAATTTTAACACATCCACAGCATAAAAGTATCCTTTCGATGATGGCCTGGGTATGGCAGAATGAAACTGTTTTAAATGTGCTTCATTTGTCTGAACAATAGCATCCAACTGTTTCTGATGTGTGTGGGCAATCAGGGAGGCACTTCAGCAGTTACGATACCATTCCTGAGATACAAAAATCCAGACCACCGCTAGATGGCACTTGTTAGAGATGTCTATGCCTCTTTGCTGCCATCTAGTGGATGCCCAATGTAGCGCGATGTTTTCAAAAAGGGGGAGGAACTCCAATGGCCTCACAGTATATGAGGCCATAGCAAAAGAAGTTCAAAGCATCCACCTTTTTTACTCTGAAGCCAGGGAAGGGATTCTTGGAAGGACATATAGGCACCTTTCTAGCCGGCCACTGTATAAGTTAGATGGGCACGTGGCACTTAGGCTGGGAAACAGATAGAACAGCATTCCAGGCAGATCTCAAGACAGTCAGAGGAACCACAGCAATCTTGCAGCATCCCGCAGCCTAACCCACAGGGGCAGTTCCCACCACCTGCCTCGCCACAGCAGCTTTCTGATAGTGGCTCCCCTCCTTCCCCGCTGCAGCAAGCTTCTAGGCAGCCCCCACAGGCCCCACATTCCAGGAGGAGGGAGCAGAAGGTCATGAACTCACAAAAGAGGCAGGCCAGGGCACACAGGGCACAACAGTCTGGAGGAAAAGGAGAGAAAAAGAGATTAGGAGTACAAGGGAAATCTGAGAAGATCACAGTCCAATTACCCGTAGATTTCCACATTGCTATTACCCCCTCCTCCTGTTGCTCAGAAATCTTTTCTAGTTCATCAGTGCATCACGTGCGCAAACTGTTCTTCTGCTGGACCACTTCAAAGGGTGGGGCCTTGCATCGATACTGTCGTGCAAATGAAAATCTGTATGTTCGCATGTCAGAAAATAAGGTTCTCTTTTATCCTCTTGTATGATGATGATGTCATCAGTTGACAATCTGTATGTCATAACTTAATACAGAACAACGTTCAAAACAAATGATGGGTTTTATCTTGTTCTTTATTGTAATAGTCCAAACTATAAGAAAAATATAGCATTTTAAAATAAAATCATTGTTCCCTCTCTCCCTTATCAAATTCCAAAATGTCTGTGAATTGCAACATGAAAACTAGTTTTCAGATATTAATAATCCATTCTCTTATTGACATATCTTTTTCCTCCCATTAATGATTACCTGCAATATTAATGACTATTAGCTAATTAATGACAATTTCCTGATCAAAATCACTGATTCTCTACATATCCAAACAGACCATAAAGCTGGATGCATCTCATAATTTCATTCACATTTTCTAGTATTTGGCAATATCAAAGTATATGTGACATTTTACACGCCCACCTCAGACAGATATAATCTGGACCTCATTTAAAAATGAGTTACATTATATAAATGAGTGAAGACTATGAAAGGGGCACCAATGATTTGGTAACTGGTTGACACACGGTATAAAATGGAAGATTTTTTTTTTATGCCTTTGTATGTTCTTGTTTGTTTACGTATGTTTTGTGTTTGTTGTAAAGAATAAAAAACTTTATTAAAAAAAAATGAGTTACATTATATAAATGAGTGAAGACTATGAAAGGGGCACCAATGATTTGGTAACTGGTTGACACACGGTATAAAATGGAAGATTTTTTTTTTATGCCTTTGTATGTTCTTGTTTGTTTACGTATGTTTTGTGTTTGTTGTAAAGAATAAAAAACTTTATTAAAAAAAAATGAGTTACATTAAAAAATTCTTTTACATGTGAACAAAGATTTTTCCCCCCTGATTTATAAGGGTATGCTAATTGCCCGTGTCAATTATATAATTATGAATTTCATAACTACATAAAGTCCAGGCCAATTTTACCATGTTTGCTGTTTGGCTCAAGAGCCTCCACATATAAACAGGCACATTATGAAGTATTGCTTGTGATTCTTAATCTACAAAAAAAGCTACATTTTTGCAATAAGCTTAATATGATCGTGCAGCTCAGCTCTTGGGAAATGTCATTCCCTTACTATCCAGCAAAATAGGTTAGGATGGAACTTAGGCTGGAACTTGGCAGAGAAACATGTTTTATTACATTTTCTGCAAAGAAACTGATTAGAAGAAAGGTAAAAACAGCCTGAAGGTAGACCCACTTGGATTTCCCTTAAATAAATTATATAGGGTAAACAGTAATGCCGGGCATAGAAGAGGTCTGGAGAACTGGGATCTCCAGATGTTGAATCATGTCTCCCAGCATCCCATAGAATCAGCCATCTAGATAGGAGTGACTTGCCGGAACAGAGGATTTCCATCTCTCTCCTACTGGATTTTGCAAAAGCTGACCTCTGATTGAAATTCTTTGGAAACAAAGAATTGTTTCATATTACTGACCTTCCAGGCCAGTCTTCTCTGATGTGGCACTCTCCAGATTGTGGAATTTCACCTCCCAAGATGTTCTTACTGGATGGGCAAAATCAGTTCTGGCTCTGTGTTGAGTTATGTGGGTTGCCTGTGTTTTTAAACTGTAATATGCCTATTTTAGGGCTTACACCAGACCTTTCAAGCTTCCCATCTCAAAAATGTTTCAGAACTGGGCCTCGGGCTATAAACCCCTGCCCAGGAAGTATAACAGAATTAGAATCAATCTGGCCACTGTGCATGGTATTTCTTCCTTCTATTCCGAGATATGGCAATATTCTGAGTCCACAGGGACAAGAATATATAGAACTCTGGCTTGAAATCAATGTCAAACTTTGCTCACCTGCCATGATGATCCCAGAAGAAAAGCAGTTAGTAGGAAGCCTCCATGGTAGCCGGGTTAATCAATGATAGCACAGTTCATATACTTCTAAGGCAAGTTCCAGACAGTCACCAGTCTGGTAGCAGAATTCCAGGGCTGGTCCTCCAAGACTGCAGCAGCAGCAGCTAGAGAGGTCAGAATTCAGCCCCAGAAGCCTTGGGCTACAGGCAGACAGAGGGGAGCAGAAAGAGTAGGGCCCAGAAAGAAGAGGCAGGATATCAGAAAAATGACCAAAGAAGGATGATTTTGGTTAAGAGGATAGTAGCACACAGCTCTGTAGAAAGGAGTAGAAGGAGGAGAAGACAGAGGTCACAGTTTCACAGCAGTGGGGCAAATTTGGCAACGTCCTTATACCTTATAATTCAATTCAAGCGTACCTTTCTTGGCAAAGTCAACATCTGAAGTTACTTGCTTTGCATGCTCAGTTGAAGCCATCAGTGACTGAACTGGTTGGCACCTCTGATGTCATGAAATCTAAACCTCATTCCTAGGCCAGTTTTGTTAGGACTACCAGCGCTAGGCTACAAAAATCCAGACAATCATGAGATGGGAGCAAAGAATTAGAGCATTCAGTGTCTCTTTGCTGTTCCCCGGATGTCTGCAGCCCAGATTTAATAGTCTGTGTGTGTGGGTGTGGGTGTGTGTGTGTAATAAAAATGAATGAAAAAGGGGAGACCCATTTCAAACATATGGGATGAGGAAAGAACTGTGAAATCAAGGTTCTGATTTGCCTGCCTGCACATTTCTTCTTTCTAATGAGCCCCCATGAGAAAGCCTCCCCATATTACAGCTAAGGGACATGTTCTGAATCCTCTTTTTAATTTATGCCTGTCTCTATTTTTGCATCTCCAGCCAAAAACCATTAGGAATGTCTGGTCTTCTGCATTTAAGTTCATCAGACATAAAGGGGAGGATAGGTAAGAGCCACTCTACATATTCAGGGCAGTTCACATGGCACAATCCAGTTGGAATGGTACTATTTAAGCCCACAAGTGGAACAACTGCATCCTTAAATGCTCCTCTGTGCTGGCAGCCCTACCCCTTCTCACTGTCAGCTGAATAATGATTTAAGAGCTTTTTTTCCTACCCTCAATAAAAGAAGCCAGATTTGCTAGTCATTCTGGAGATCTAGGCTGCAAAAATCCCACAAACATAGAAAACAGCAAAGAGATACAAAAAACCCTAACTCTTGTTGCTGTCATCAGGTGATCATCCAGATGTTTGCAGCCTAGATCAGGTAGCCTTAATCCAAGGCAGGGGGACTTTAAAGGGCTCCTTGCCTGTTAGTGCTGTTATGAAACAGTGGGCAGAATGGAGCCAAACCTCCTTGTTAAGCTTTCCTTTTCCTGTTTTATGCCCCGCGGTTAATTGTTCCTCATACTGGCCACTAACCAAATGATTATAAAATGCACATTTCAGATTTTACATAGTGCACCCAAGGATGGAGAATACTGACATGGCAAGGCTGGTCCAAAATATTTCACACCATGAGCCAAGACTCCCACCCCACTCCTCCATGGCCAATTGCCAGGCAGAAGTACAGAAGGATGAGGCCTGCAGGCTCAAACCAGTTGTCTGCCTGGGCCAGCCTTCTGTTCTCATGATGGCTTACCAAGGGCCTCCATGAATCCCCCAGGCAGCTTAGAAAGGAATCATCTTTCTCTCATCCTCCAGCTGTTTCCCAGGAATTGGTACTGAAAGGCTTTCCGTGTTCTTACTGGGAATAACATGTAGCCACCATGACTAGCTGCCATGGAGAGGTCAAGCTGCTGTTGAATCTGATTTCAAGATGGTACCAGGGTTTAATGCCTTCTCCTGCACCTGAGCTTTCAGAGAGTGCAAAGTGAGTTCAGGCAGCCCATACAGGTCTACCTGTTCTTTGCCATCTGAGGCAGCTGCCTCACTTTGTCTAATGGCAGGGCTGTCCTCTGTGATACATTTTGGGTGACAAACCGTCCTTCCTAATTAGGAGAGGGCTCCATATAAAGCCATGCATCTATCTATGTGGAAGAAGACAGATTTAAAGGTCCTTTTGGGGTGGGGTGTGTGTGACTGGGTTGTCAGGATCTGCGCAAGCTAGAAATCAAAGCTTAATTGAATGTAGACTAGTGATGCATAG